AGTATTTTTGTAAAATAGAATTAAAAAAGTATAGTGAAAATTTATATAGACAAATCAAATAAAAATATCTAATTAGGTTTGGTAGCCGCGGTCGTTAAAGCGTTCGTTAGGTCTCTTAGGTCATGCGTCTGGGGTTCAATTCCCGTAGGGTTCAAATTTTAATTCAACTCTCAGAGTTTAATTTAAAATTTACAGGCTATTCCTTCTAGAAAGTTAGTATTAATTGTGGTTAAAATTAATTAATTTATTTATTATTTATTATTAAAACTGGTCCTAACTAGGCACCCAAGTTAGGACCAGGGTAAAATCGCATCACAAACCATTGTAGGACCAAGCTAGAATGCCAAACTTGAACCTAGTTAATAATAGGTCAAAATAGATAGGACCAAGCTAGGACCAGTTTTCATTTTCTACACGGGTAAGTATAATTTTATGAAATTTATTATTATTGAAAAAATTGATTAATTTTGTTTTTAAATAAATTATTTAAAAAGAATTATTTAAAGGCACAGACAGTTTTAATATTCAAGCAGTGAAGACACCGAATTTTCATTTGCAGTTTTTAAAATTGATGATTAACGATTTTCTTGACAATTTCTAATTGGTGAATTTTAAAAATTGCCCCGAAATCTTTCTGTCGAATTTTTTTTTCGGACATTTTTAATTTCGGATAAATGAAAATTTGGCGCCTTAAAAATGATATCAATTAAAACTTCGGACAAATTAAAATTTGGTGTATTGGAATTTTTGTCATTTAAAAATTCGAATTACAGAAATTTCGATTGAATGAAAATTCTACTAAATTAAAATTCTCTTAAGGGTATGTGGGAACCTCCCACGTGACCTAGTATGGGAAAATGTGTTTTGATAGTATACATCTTACTCTAAAACGAGAAAAGATTTTTGTCTAAAATTTTGAGTGATGATAGATTTGGGTACAAGGAATCTCGCTGTTCTCCGAAAAATACATAATTTTGTGTTAAATTATAAAAAAAAAGAAATTTAAAAATTGGCATTTTTAAACGAAAATGAAAACAAACATGGCTGCGCATACACAGACGTTGCTTGAGTGTATCAGTGCTCCAGTAAACAGCGCCAATTCGAGCAAGTGGCCGCTAAATGAACTATGATAAAACACATTATTTTACACAGTTTTCCTAAAAGTATCAAATAGAGACCAAAAATTGCATCAAATCTTTGCAACGTTTTGATGCACATAAGTTATATAAAAAGAGATCGTTTTGTGTATCATTTTTAGAAATGATACACGAAACGGTCTCATTTTTTGATGCAAAAAATTTAATCAATTTATATCAATCATGGCCGAATTGAATCGACTCAAAATTAAACGAATTTTTTTCAGATATTTTGCCAATAGTACAATTGCGGAGACCATTTCACTATTTAATTTGAAAATGAAAATAACAGAAAATCAAAGACAATGTGCAATTCGATAATTAAAAAGTGACAGCTTATAAACATAACCTAAAATGCATGAGAAAAAATTTGTCGATAAAATCAATATAGCCGAGCTTTTTAGAAGGTAGATGGCAGCACTCATCTATTTTCTTTCTTTAAATTTTTTCTGAATCGTTTTTATAAAAAGCAAAACTGCCATCTACCTTCTAAAAAGCGTATATAAATTTTCACTATATTTTTTTAATTCTATTTTACAAAAATACTTGAAATCATTCAGAACATTCACTGTAAGTGTTTAATGTTGTCAAATAATGGATTTAAAACATTATATTGCATTGTTTAATTGTTTAAACAATTTATTGTTATTTATATTAACTTTTTTTGCAGTGCACCTAGAAAGATGCTGTTTTTTTCTAATTTTACAATTTATCAAATCGAATATAAAGCCAGATAGATTTGATGTAAAATTATTAATTCAACAATTGTTTAAACAATTTATTGTTGTTATTTATTAACTTTTTTGTAGTGCATCTAGAAAGATGCAGCTTTTTCCTAATTTTACAATAGGAAAAAATACTGCATTTTTCTAGAAAAATTATGAAAAATGTTAATAAATAGAAACAATTATTTGTTAAAACAATTTAACATAATAGTTGTTGCAAATTTAATTCTATATTTTATTTTATTTATAACCTTTAAATTAATAACTACTAAGAGAAGGTAAAAAATTTATAAAATTGTGCTACTCTCTATGTGTATTTAAAAAAGTTATAAATTATGAACAATAAATTGTTTAAACAAATAAAAATTCAACAAAATATTTTTGAAATATATTATTTGGCAATATTTATAACAATTAAATAAATTAACAAATATAACTATGGAAAAATGTCTTTTAATATTTATTGCAAATTAATAAATAATTAAAACCATATAAATAATTATCAATTAATGAAATAAGTATTATCTGAAAATATTTTTCAAATCCTAAATTCAATCACTTTTTTTCAAAAAAAAATTTTCTAACACTTAACTAGATGTTCTAGCTAAGTCCAAGTTAAGACCAGTTTAGAATATATAAACAGGGGCTGCCTAGGTAGGACCAATGTTGGGCCAACAATCATTTTAGGCATACGTTGGTTATTTCTACACGGGTCCTCGAAATTGTTTTCAAAAAGATGACACGTCGAAATGGATCTGAAAAACATGAAATATCGTTATTTGATTTAAAGAAAATGACACAAAATGGCACAACGGGTCTGTCGGACCCGACGTATTCAAAAACGTGTATTTTACAGCCGGTATTGAATATTTTTGCACAAAAATTTAATCTGAGGTAGCTTATTATGTTTTTTTTAAATTTCATTAGTTTTACAGGGATTAATTTATTTTAAGTTAGTTAAAAAAATTGTGAAAAATAAAAATTTCGTGTTTTTACTTAAAAATTCATGATTTATAATATTATGACTTTAAAATTTAAGGTTATACTCTTAATGTATTATTCTTTAAGGAATAAATTACCCAGACAGCACCGTTTTTCGCAGGGAGTTCGCGGGGAGTTCCCCGTGTTAAGTTCGGAAACTAAGTTGGGGAGCTTCAGGGAAAGTTCAGGCGAGCTCTATATGTCCTCGGTTTTATAACTCGCGGTGCGAAGTTCAGGTTAGTTATCCGATTAAGTTTGCCGAAAAATTGTGGATAAAAGTTTAGGAAATATTAAATTTTGAGTTTTACAGAAATTTGCTTTGTGAATTTCTTTAAAACTATCTCCGGAAAGTACTCTAAAGATATATAGACAAATTTCCTGTAAAATTAAAATGCAAGTTTTCAGTGAATTTTATAAGGTAAGTTTATTATAAATGTTTTATAATATTTATTAAATAAAAGTAAAATTAAAAAAATTTATTTTTCCCTTATTGCGCTTTCTTTTATTTTTCCCCGACATTAACGGCGCAATTTTCGGAAATAAATTTGGAGGAGCTGGGGATTGAACCCGGACGCGCAACACAACAGCCAAGAACCCTAACCACTAACCTAACCAACGACCTGAAGGTGGGTAACTTTCGGGTCTTTATAAGCTGCAAGCCTTGTCGTCATCAGTTGACACGAATGGCGGGAAAATTTAAAAATGTTTTCAACGAAATATTTTTAAATTCTATTATTAAATTAGTGTCATAATTAAAAGGGCATTGAAATAATATTGCAATGTTAATATTAATATTATTTGTGAAACTAGCAGCTATATAAAACGATTTAAGGTAATTCTTTAACCTTTACTTGACACACTTTTTCTGAGTATCATACTTGACACATTGGGGTTTTTTGTACCCCATCGACAAAAATCATCATGAAAAATAAAATATTAAATATATCTACTTCAATTTTTTTTTACATATTCTTGAGAGGTATCTTCTGAAAACTATATAAGTTATATAGTAGAATATTTAAAGTAAGTATTTTTAAAAAATTGGAAAACGTGAGGTATTTCGAGAAAAATTGGTAAGAATGGAAAAACGTGGGGTATTTTGTACCCCAGTGTGTCAAACAAAGGTTAAAAATGAAATTTATTAAATACTGAATCTCGTTTTAAAAAATTCTGGACTTGTCAAATTTTTATTTTTTATTATTTATTTTGCAGAATAAAATGTAACTTTTTAGGTTAAAATTAAAAATTTATAATTATTAATCTTTGAAGTTAATTTATTCTTTTGTATCGAGTTAGTTGTATCAAAAAACATAGAAAATTACTAAGATTATATGTCAAACTAATACACTAAAACGTCAATCGAGAACAGACGAATGTGCAGTGCTGTTCTCGATTGACGCGATTTTTATCGCTCGAAAATAAAAACACTCAGGGCCGTATGAAGGGCCTTACGCAACAATGTGAATTCTATCTAGGGGATTTTCACTAGTGGGGCACTGAATCCACCTTAAATTTAAAAATCACAAGTACGACTTTGGCGTCAGTCATAACCTAAATTCTACCCGCTTCCCCACTTCCCTTCAAGTGTTCCCATGCTCTGTTCTCGACTGACGTGTTCTCGATTGACGTTCTAGTGTATATTAAAATATAAAAAATATTCAAAAGCTACACATTCTAATTTGAGCTCGAAAAAATGCTCGGGTCTACTGGACCCTTGATGCTAGTTAAGCGTTAATTTAATCACGTTATAATATCCATTTTTTTTAATAGTATTTAAAACTGTAATAAAAAATATATTATTAATTATGCAGGTGTAGGTATTTCATATAGTGAAAGTATCGGTAAATTTTTATTTCATTATTCAGTTATAACAAAATTCATATATATATATTTAAAAAGAAAAATGGTAAAGGAGAATTATCGGACCACCCTTATGGCCACAATTAAGTGCATGGGTTTTTTTTTTTTTTTTTTGCATAGGATGGGGTGAGGGGGGCGGGGAGGAACAGAAGCGTGCGGACACGGAAAGTCCCCTCCTGAATTCGGGGCAGTGTGTAAGTCAATGCGAGGGGTTTCTTGGCATGGCATGGGTTTAAGCAGCTTACCGCTGTCGCGACTTATCCAGCGACCACAGTCGGACTCCTTCGTTACTGGACGGCGGATCACTTATATAGATATATACATATATAAATAAATATAAATATTTCGTTAAATTTTCGCGCAGTTTTGCAAAAAAAAAAAAAATAATAATTTTTTTTTCGAAAAATTAATAAAGAAAAACAAAAAAAATTTTTAATAAAAATAAATATTAAAAAAAAAAAATACAAATTTGTCATAATGCAAAATTTTAATTTTTCATCAGTTAAGGTGTTTATTATACTAGTCTTGTGTTTAGTTTTAAATGCAAAAATTTGCCGGGCATTTGGCGCTGGTTATCTTTCAATGAGATTCGCCATGGGGAATCCCCGACCCTACAGATCTGAAAAGCCAACCAAAGCGGAAGAATTCAATCGTACCGGTGTTCTACTTCCGGAATATCAATTACCAGCAACACTGAATCCCCACAACGTGTCTGAGTGAGCAATTTTTTTTTATTTTCCTATATATTTTTTTGTGTAATTTTTCGATTTGAATCAAAAGATTTCTTTTGAATTTTTTTTTTAAAGAGATAATAATCGTTTTGTGAGTATATATATAAAAACGATTAATTTTAGTGATTTTTTTCGAAATAAAAATTTAATCAACTTTCGCTGTATTTGGAATTTTGTGCCAGTATATAAAGAAATTTTTGTTCATTATATCTTCAGACAACTGCGTTGAGACTAGGTGAAAAATTTTAATTTATGTAAGTTTTTATCAAATTCGGCAAAAAAAAAAATTTTTTTTTTTTAATGAGATCCATGTGCAAAATTAATTATGTTTTAAAAACTTAATTAGACTTTTTATTTAATTTTTTTAATCGTATTTTTTGAAACAATAGATTGATTATTTTTATTACTTATTTTTTAAAAACTAAATAAATAATTCGTGTCCTTTTGAAGCAATGAATTAATCCAGAAAAAAGAAATTTTATTATTTAAAATAATTTTTTTATTTGTTTATTTATTATTTTTTATTGCTTACTATATAAATTTATTTTTCCAAAACTATACAAATAAATCGTGTCCTTTTGAAACAATGAATTGATCCACAAAAAAACTTTTATTATTTAAAGCAATTTTTTTTTATTTATTTATTTATTATAATATTTATTTAATTTGCAATGTACGGGCATTCAAATTTATAATAAAAAAAATGACCTTTAGTGCTCTCTAAATTTGAATTAGTGAAAAGTGAGCTACTAATTCACATTAGTAAGAATTTTTATTAAAATATTACTATTTGTTTTAGTAGTTTTAAAATTATTGACTAAAATTTTAGTAAAAAATGACTAAAAATTAATGAAAATTCTTACTAATTTAAAATAGTAGCTCAGTTTTCACTAATTCAGATTCAGAGAGGGCAGAACTAAATAAAATTTTTTTTTATAAATTTTTATAAAAAAAAAAAAAATGTTTCATATTGTATTTAAATTTTGTTTGTTTGTTTTTTTTTTTTAATTTAAATGTCAATGAAAGTCCAAATAGACAAATATAATGGCGAATAAGATTTATTTGAGTTTTAACCGCGGTATCAATTTGTAAATAGCTAAATAACATCCTCGAGGTGGATGCTCTCTAGTAACGGAAGGCATGAAATTTTCAAAGAGCGTCGGACGCGTGCCAAATAACACGTCAAAGAAATACCACGTGCCTAAAGAGAGCCACGTTGTTCCTGAATATAAATATATACATACATAGAACAATTTCGAATAAGAGAATAATTTCACTGAAAGTGAAAAGTGAACCTCATATATCTTTTCAAGCATTATATTACAACTTAAACCTCCCCTTGTGCGGGATGTGTGGTTATAAATATGTTTTATTATGCAAAGAGATGAAATCACACTAAAAATCCCTTCTTTGATGTTTTAATTTTCATTAAAGCATTCAATTTAAATAAATAAATTCTGCGAAAATCAAACAAATTTTTATTATAAAAAAAACATTAATAATCACATTAGAAAAATATAAAATATTATTTTTATAATAATAATAATAATAATAATAATATTAATAATTTATTTAAGTATGAAGAAAAATTAATTTTTTGATTTTTTCTCTAAAAATATGTTTGTTTTTTTTATTATCTTTAAAGAGGAAGGCCTTAACATAACCTCAAAACTAAAAAGTAGTTTTTAAAATTTTTTTTTAATTTTCTTTGCACACTGTAAAAAATCTTTTTGGAGATTGTACATTCACAATTTGTATTTATGTTAAAATTTGTAAAATTACTATATTCAATAAGGTTATGTTACTACATTAAAAAAAGCACTTTTACAATTTTCTGTAAATTTACTACTTTCAAAGTGGGTAATAGGTGACGGATGCAACAACTAATTATGTTTCACCTATTACCCACTTTGAAAGTAGTAAATTTACAGAAAATTGTAAAAGTGCTTTTTTTAATGTAGTAACATAACCTTATTGAATGTAGTAATTTTACAAATTTTAACATTAAATACAAATTGTGATTGTCCAAAAAGATTTTTTACAGTGCATTGAAAATCATTTTTCAATTAGGAGGTTATGTTAGGCCATCCTTCTCACAAGAAGAAGAAACTAAAGTTAATTAACTAATTTTGGGACAGTTATAAAATTTTTATTACAAAAACTTTAAAAATTTATTTATAATTATAAGTTTCAATAATTATAATGTTGCCAGGTATCAAAAAAAAATTTAAGGTTATAAATAATAATTATATTTTTATAATAATAATAATAATTTACTTGAATTTCAAGAAAATTTTTTTTTTGAATTTTACACCGAAATTAAATTTTAAATTTTTTTTTGTTAATTTCTTATCATTAAGGAAAAAAAAAGAAACTAAAGTTTACGGCGTTAAGAGAAAATATTACAAATAGCCCTAACGCTCAAATGCAAATATGTTTCAAATTAAAAATTATTTTTATTCTTATAATTAAAATAAAAGAAAAAAAAATTCTAAATTAAATTTTAATTGTACTAATGAGCTTACTATATTTATTGCACGAAATCATTTAAATTATATTTTTATCAAAAAAAATAAATAAATAAATAAATGCATTCCGCGTGCTATGTTAATGTTATCAATTAACTGAGAAAAACACCCAAATCTGGTTGAGCAACTTTATGATCAGGTTTTATCAATCTTTTATTTTTCTTATATAATAACTAATTTTATATATAATTCCTCCGCGAATAAAATCATATATATGTCTAATGCAATATATTTTAAATCAAAACACGATTTTGCATCGACAATAATTACGCGCAAAACATTCCAATTACTTTTTTATTAAAAATTATTTGCATTAATTTAAAAAAAAAATTTTAAATCATCTTTCTCATATTTATATAATTTCTATACTAATTGATTTAATTTTTATAATAATAATATTCTAGGAATTTAATTTTAAAGATATTATTTTTTTTCAAGTTTTGTATATAATAAATTAAAAAAATATTCTAATTATAAAAAGGGTAGTTTGGTATTTTAATAAATAATTCAATTTTTAACATATATATTTAAGTTTTTAATAACGCAATTTTTTATTCTTGCAAAATAAAAAAAACAAATTATTTTTCTTATTTGTTTTAAAATAACTGTTAAACAAATTTTTTTGCCTAATATTTATTAAACTTGGATCATTTTTGGCCCGATAATTCAGTTTAATAATTCTTTTGCGGCTTAATATTTACTTAAACTAAATGTACTTTGGCCTAATATTTATTTAACCCAATTCATTTTTGTCTTAACATGTTTTTAACTTAGTTCCTTTTCGGCCTTATATTTATTAACCATTAATTATCTTTTGACCTTAACTTTATTAATCTAATTCCGTTCTGGCATAAAATATGTATTTAACCTAATTCTTTTTCGGCTTAATATTTATTTAACCTATTTCTTTTTTGGCCTAATAATTAATAACCTTATTCTTTTTTTGAGTTAGTATATTTATTTCACCTAATTCTATTTTGATTTGATATGTATTTAACCTAGTTCATTTTTGGCTAAATATTTATTTAACATGGTTCCTTTTTATCATAATATTTATTAACTTTTAATTTTCTTATGAGCTAAATTTTATTAACCCTATTTTCTTTTGGCATTTGGCATAAATTATATATTTAACCTAATTATTTTTCGAATAAATATGTATTTAACCTAATTCCTATTTGGTCTAATATTTATTAACCTCATTCTCTTTTGAGCTAATTTGTATTTCGCCTAATTCTTTTTTGGCTTAATATTTATTTAATCTACATATTTTTAGGCTAATATTTATTTAATCTACATATTTTTAGCCTAATATTTATTTAACTTATTTATTTTATGGCACAATATTTATTTAACCTAGTTTTATTTGGCTTAATATTTTTAACCTACTTTTTTAGCTTAATATTTATCTAACCAATTTATTGTTAACCTAATTTTACTTTGGTCTATTATTTGTGTAACTTCTTTTTAGCCTGCTAATTTATTTAATCTATTTCTCTTTTGACATAATATCTTTTTTAATCTAGTTACTTTTTGTCTTAATCTTTATCTATCATAAATTTTATGTGATATAAGTTTTATTTAACTCAAATTTTTTGCCAAAAATTTTTCTTGCCTAATATTTATTTATCCAAAATTTTATGTCGTAGATTTTTTATTAAAAAACGTTTTTCTTTTGCTTATTGTTGAATTTTTAGATAAATATTATTTACGCCTTATAAAAATTAGGAAAATAAGAATTTGGTTAAATAACGTTCGGTCCAATACAAAATTAGTTTAAATAAGATTTAGGCTAGAGAAGAAGTATTGTGGAAATATCGTGAACAATATTTGTACAATGATTAATTATATAATCTGAATTATTATATATTATAATTATAATATTAATTACAATTATTTATAATATTAACTAGATGGGAGATTTCAAAAATTCAAAATGGCAGATCCAATAATGGCGGACTTTTAAAAAAAATTAATCAGATTCGCTTAAAAAGGCGTTACGAAGCGTTTTCGGAATCGTTGATTACGAATCCGATGTTAGATTTTTAAAATTCAAAATGGCGGATCAAATATGGCAGACGAAATTTAAAAAGTTGGTCGAATTCTTTTCAAACACATCACTCGGGGGTTTTTGGGGTCGCTGATTACGAATTTCATATCAGTTTTCAAAAATTCCAAATGGTGGATCCAATATGGCGGGCATTTAAAAAATAAATTGATCATATTCGCTTAAAACGCGTTTATTGGGAGTTTCATGGATCGCTGATTACGAATCCGATGTCAGTTTTTAAAAATTCAAAATGATAGACACAATATGGGAGGGGGGATTTTAAAAATCAATCGAATTTGTTTTAAACTCATTACTCATGGGTTTTTAGGATCGATGATTATGGGTTATAACATTAAATTTTTATAAAATTTGGAATCTGTCACCTTGAAAAGCAGTGATTATGTTTG